CCCCCGCCCCCGGGGTGGGGGCGCAAATCAGCTGTTTGGCGCCACAAGCCTGGGAGGGGAGGAGAATTAGAGCGAGGGCGGTGTGCTCTGGGAGGAGGCGGAGCAGAGGAGCTGGGGGTGGGGGGAGCTGCTGCGGGGTGCCTCAGGGCGGGGGGGGGGAAGCTGCCGTGGGGGCAGTGCCTCAGGGTGGGGAGCTGCCACAGGGCTGGGGGGGGGGGGCAAAGGTGGAAGTTTCACCTAGGGCGCAAAACTTCCTTGCACCGGCCCTGAGTCCAACTCAAAACAATGTTACAATTTCTTTACAAAAGTTCCACACTTTAAAAAAACCCAAATATTAGAATGTCAGGAAATGAAAATTAAGTGTTAAGCCTGTTCCCCCACTGCCACATAAACCTTCATCACTCACTTCCATCCCACCCCACTCTTAAGCAGGCTGTCTATCGGCTGCTCTGCAGCCCTACAACCCCATTGCATTGAGTGCTACAACTGCTCCTAGCACACCCCTTACACTGGATCCTACGGGGCCTGGGCAGCATCGGGCCACTTACAGCAGCCCTATGATTCTCCTGCCTAGCCTACTGTGACCTCTTTATGCTCCTGGAGTGGGGTGTCGGGGCTGGAACAGGGGACAGAATCAGGACCTCAGTGGCTTGTGATTGTCTAAGTCCCCAAAACATCAGAATTTTATTTACTCTGAAATATGCTTGAAGTTTTTTAATTTTCTTGTTCTTTATGTTAACACTGTGTAGGAAGCAGGGAATGATGCCTCCTCCTTATTGGGGTCTGTTTCAAAAGCAACACTGGAAATACCCTGTCACCTACACTGCATTAACACCCAAAAGCTGTATTGTACTATTTTATACAGTTGAATGTCCTGATTTTCTGTTCCAGCTGAGCAGAGGGGATGGGGAATTTAAGCCAAATTTGCAATTTCCCTATTTGCGAGCTGGTCAACTGCTTTAACCTACTCCTAGTCACCTCTGGCCCCAAGGGGCCACTCCCCCAGCCAAGAACAGCTGGAATGAATCAATATTGTGGCCTCACTCTTTCTTTTCTTTAGCCTTGGCGCTTGTGTCAGATGCTGTTAGAGAGGCGGCCTACTGCCATTACATTTGCCATACAGCATGCATGGATGATCCCTATGTAACACTGACAGACCCCAGTTGTCAGCAGGCGGGATTGAACCTGGGGCCTCTGGATCTTAGTGCATGAGCCAAAAGCCATATGACTGTAAAGCAAATCAATCTCTCTCTCTCTCCCTCCCTCCCCGTGGCACTAGATGGGACAGAGCACCACACTCAGGAGGTGTGTGGTTACATACTTCCCCTAACTAAGTAAGCATATCACAAGCTTCAGAGACTCCCAGATGAGCCCCCACTTATAACAGTGACAGACCCCAATCGTTGGGATCGAACCTGGGGTATCTGGAGCTTAGTGCATGAGCGTCTACTGCATGAGCTAAAAAACATATGGCTGTTAGCTAAGGCTGTAGAGCAAACTCATTAATCTCTCTTTCTCGGCCTCAGTGCCAGTAGATGGGACAAAACACCACACCCAGGAGGTGTGTGGGTTACACCTAGAAGAGGGAATTCTCCAGTAGTTGTAATGTGATACTTCACGGCCCCTTTCTATCATAGGATTGGCGCACAGGGGGCCAAATGCAACCAATAATCTGGCCCCTGATTTTAAGAGTCTGATGACTGACAAATTTTGTTCTCATATGGTACATGCAGCATGAAGACAGACTTAACCTGATCATATTTGTTTAATGAAGCTTATTTTCTCTACAGAATTCAGACTTCAGTTTTGTTATGTGAAAGACTCTTAAGGGGACTTTATGAAATCATTAAAATGTCCATATGTTCTTGTGCTTTTAGGTCCCTAGAGTCTGATTTGATTACAATGGTGACAAATATAACTATGTCTTTTTCCTACCTTACTACGGTGTGTGTGCATACAATGAACTCTGGTTTGGAGTTCCACTGATGGTAGGTGATATAGTAATGGGTCTGCAGCCAGATCCACTGCTGTCCTTTGGTCAGAAACCGGTAACAACAAGACTTTCCCTTGCCAAACTGCATCACTGTTAGTAGAAAATGGACACTGCATATAACAAATTTTAAAATGTGAAAAATATCTTTTTAAAAGTTTCATAAGAAATCTCTCTGGGATTTATGGTAAAAGCACATATCATGTATGTCACCAGGTATCCCTTTCTGAAATTTTAAATATACAACAGTATACTTAAAAATAGCACAAATATGATGAATGCTAACTATGTCCATGTATTAATAACTACAACTTTTATATAACTTTCTGTGTTTTAAGTGCCGGTCACAAATTAGCGAAATAAGCACCTGGCATTGATTTCTAAGGGCTTGTCTATACTTACCGCGCTGGTTCGGCGGCAGGCAATCGAACTTCTGGGTTCGAT